GCAAGTCAATATTTCACAAGTAGAGATTATAATCTTAAAGCACATTTCTTTAATTTGTCATTCCCTTGGTGAGTTGGAAGTTTGGAAGCTGCAGTTATAATACATTTAGAGGTTACTATGAGAAAGATTGTCCAGAAGAGTATAGGCAACAAATCTGAATAAATAATGCGAGCTAAGCAATTAAATAAAAAAGCCTGAGATTACAAGGCAACTGGTCTCAACATTTAATTGAACAGGCAGATCAGTTTCAGTCTGAACATTCTTGGAGGAGACACGCTTTAAGATATGAATTATGATCCAACTGTGTTTAGAGAATCCCTACCATGTAGATGTTACTTTGCCAGACGAGAATATAAGCACATACGAAGTTCAGTGAGTGACACTTTGCCCAGCCTAGACACCCTCACAGGACTGCTAAGAGACTAAGGTGCCTCAATGCATGGCCACCTTCGTAAACTCAGTGGAGGAAGATACACATTTGATTAACAATAATTTGTTAACATCTTTTTCTATGCTTTCTCATGTATTCACATATGCTGTAGGTAGATCGGCTGTATTCTTCCTCCTATTTGCTTTACTGTATTCACTGAGTGGATTCGCCTGCCTGCCTTTCTTTTCATGATTCTTAAGTCACTGTTCTTAAGCGGATACAGAAGGCACAGTTTTCTCCAAATTAGGGAATTTAGCCTCTCTTCCCATCATTCATCTATAATTTTAAACTGGCTCATTAAAGTGTAAATAGCTAACTCTGACTTTCATACTGAAAGTGCCAAAACATCACAGACAAAAACTGGGTTTGCATATCATTGCTAAACAATAGTTTGTCTAATTACAATTTATTAGGCAAAAACTAGTCCATTTATACAACATACAAAGCTATCAACCATAATTTAGAAAACTACAATGGCTGGATTCACATCACAGTCCAAGCCAAAGCCAAGCAAGCTGTGTTATGGCTTAGCTGATGTATTGACTTTCCTATTGTTATACTTCATATTTTTCTAAAACAAGTTTGGCCATGTGGATGTTTCATACAGTATTAGTAGTCCTTCTGTTTTTTATCAGAAATCTTTTACAAGTAGTCCTCATTGAGCGGCCACAATTGGGACTGGTAACTCAATCGTTAAGCAAAGTAGCCGCTAAGTAAAACTGCAGTTGTCCTTACGATCTTACCCCAGCTTTCCTTTGCTTTACAGACCTGTGAAGGTTGTAAATGCAAGGATTGGTTGCAAAGTTACTTTTTCATCACCATCGTAATGGCAAACGGTCACTATATGAGGCAGTTGCTAAATGAGGCTACCTGTATAGGCCAGCAGGAACCCATTTCATCTGCTCCATAGTTCTGTTTTTAGAATCCAAAGCTGAACTAGCGAAGGTGTTCTTGGTATGTCTTTTCTTTTAACACAGAATACTGTGCAAGAGAAAAGAAACATGCAAGACTTCAGTCATTTCATGCAGACACCATGTTCTCTCGTTAATAGATGTATAAAATGCAGCAGCACATTTTGAGATAACCACATAATATTTATAGACAGATGACAAGGTCTTTTTAGAACATCTTTCTTTTAACTTTTCTTTAGAGCAGCTTAATAAAATGTCAATAAAATAAAGGAACTCTTAATTTTCTTCTGGAAGGCAGTCTTCACAGAAATGTTTACTGGTGATTTTTTAGACATAGGCATGCTTTGATTAAACAAAATTCCATCATGACCAGAGAGCAATATGTCCATCAATCACTGCAATATTCAACAGGCCATGAGGATCAATACAAACAGGAAAAAGTTATCTCAAATACCGCTGAACAGCTTATTTAGCATACAATGAAACTAATAGAACCTACTGATACTTTACAACAGTAATTTAGGAGGAAATGGTATATTAATGAACATATCAGCCAGTGTATAAGGAACATGCAGGTGCTGTTTTTGTGAGAGATTGTGGGGATGCTGGGAAAGAAATGGAAGAGAATGTAGACATTAATAACCAGAAGATAGCAGGTGAGTCAATTGATGGCTTATTTAGATAAATGGCAATTTACCTCAGATGGGAAGAAATCTAGGAAGAAGCATTTCAGCCACTCAAAGAGACTCTGCCTTTATTAATTTACTATACATTAAGGAGGGCAAGTATTACAATTTCCAAGAGGCTATATTGCCGCCATTACATTATCTACTAATGTATCTATACTGAAATCTGTGTGGTTCTTGCATCCTTGATCTTGCCCACCTGGTGGGGCTTGACAGTGTTCTTCAGACATGTTTTGTTCTTGGCTTCCAATTCCTGACATGTTTGAGAGAGGCAAGTTAGGAGTCTTAGTGAGTACACCTATTACAAAAGAAGTTGTGGGTGGATAGGACAATCCATATGAGAATAATCAAGCAGTGTGCATCAACAATCTTTGAACATTCCTATTCATTATATGCTGTAAATATCAATCCACTATTTGACTGCAAAAATTATACAGAACAAGTGTTAGCATCCTCAGGAGCAGCAGAGGACATCAGTGGATATGATCTTTTTTTTTTTTTTCCACATGGAAATAAAGCCAGTAAGTTTCTCCAAAGGATCACCGAGGTACAGGGCAGGTGTTTAATCTAATGCAGGAAGCCAAATCCACGGACTTGAATTAAATTAAAATGGAAGCATATTAGAAGGCCTGTTTTTCAAGTCTGATTTAAGGGTTAAATATAATGTAATGCCATTGTGGACTTATAGCTTTGCTGGCCTTGCCAGAACAAAAGCAGTGCATTCACTCAAAAATGTTCCTATTATCCACCAAAAGTAGAATTAAATCAAGATATGGAAACCTGCCTCATAAGAAAATGAGTATAATAAATAATTAAAATTTGTCTTTTGTGAATGTCATATTACTCAACCTTTCTAAAGTTTCAGAACAGAAAATAGGCCTGAAAGCTCATTCCTGATGAGTCCCACCCTGTCTACAAATATTTATGACCGAGAAAAAATAACGATTTATGGCTGAGAAAAAAATAATGACAGTGCCTAGGATTGTTTCAGAAAATAATGGGACCTTCCTTCATACTACATGGACAGCATTTTGTTACTTCATTTTTTAGAAAGTGTGGAAAAATAATTATGAACATAAATTCAGTTCATTAAAGTTGTAGTTGTAGGAGCAATATAATGAGGATGCAGATATAAATAGAGAATAATGTATTCATTTTTAATTTACCAGAAGTATGTAATCATATTGATAAAGTGTTATTTTGAGGAAGAGCCTGCATCTTCCTATCTAAATGAGAGTCCAGTAAATATTGTCCTACACACATTCTCTATTTTATTGGACAACCAGAGTTGACAATGAGGGGATATCCTTTGGAAAGACTACGTAATATGGAATATGAGAAGGGGTAGTAGTTGGTACTTGTGCAATTTGCAAGTTTGGAAGAATTGTCATCTTGCAACACTACTGGTAAACATTCCAACCTCCCCTGCTTCCAAATCCTGTTAGAGCAGACCTGAGGGTATCTAGTCTAGTGACCTGTTTCCTGGTATCCATCCAGATGGGAAGCCGATTAACATTAGTTTTCCCTTGTCTTCTTAGAATTAGCATATCTATTATGACTAGCTGCTAAAGATAGCCACATCTTCCATAAATTTGTCCAGTCCCAATTTTAAAGCCATCTAAACTTAGATATCACTGCCATATCTTCAGGTAGCACATTCCACAGTTTAATTGTGTACCATGTGAAAAAGTTGCTCCTTTTGTCTGACCTGATGTTTCCAATATTCTATTTAATCATGTCACTATGAAAGAGTAGAAAGAATTCTCCATTGTTGCTCGAGATGACCTAAAATCAGGCAGTGATCAGCATTATAAAGATATTTGATAGGTTCCTTTACTTAGTGATCTAAGCTGCCTAAGTGATGTTGCATGTTGTCCTGGATCCAGCATGAGAAAGTTTTAGAGGTGTTTTGCCCACCAGAAAAAATTATTCTGAAAGCATCTCCAGCAATAAAGCATTTTCTTTGATTGCAAAATGTTCTAGAATTGCTGTATATAACCCTTACTCAACCTAGTGCCTACCTCCAGATGAGCTGTAACTAGAAGTTTTAACATTTTCAGCCAGGAATTCTAATAGCAATTTTATTGTAGTAGGTGAACATATAGTCTGACGTAGTATAATGCAGTGTTCTCTAAGTTTGAATATACTGTATTTAGAATACCATTGTGTTATGGATATATTTTACCAGGAGACTTCAGGGAAGTAATTTTTTTGTTAACATGAATTGATGTGTTAGATTTATATTCTGCTTTTCCTCCAGTACTTCCAAGCAATGTATATAGCACTCCCTATTGCAATTTTTCTCCACTACAAACACCTCGTGAAGTAGGTTGGGGTGAGAGAATGGCTGGCCCAAGTCACCTAGTGAGTTTCTGTTGCTGAAGTGGATTAGAACCTGGTTCTCCTTGGTCCTGGTCCAATATCTGAACAACTATATGTCATTGGCTTTCTTGGCAATAACATGGAAATCTTCAATTATTGCCCACTTTCCTTGATATTGAAATCTGCAGTTTCATGAAACTGAATCTCAGTAGCCAGCAAAGTTTTTAAAAAGAGTCTGTTTTGGAAATGCATTCTAGCTATATAGTCCCACCTAATGCTTATTATAGTACAGAGGAAGGATTAAGAAAACCAGATTGGTGTGGACTAGTGAAGGATTCAGGTAGTGTAGTTCCAGAATTTGTTGAACTCTGCATCTGCTTGTTAGTTCTGTATCACAGGAGAAAATATCTGAAGTGTGGGTTGCTGACTGTAATGTTTGACATGTTGGTTGATTCCATAAAGGCCTAATTTAGGGGACAAATATACTCAATATGTCTGATATATTTGAAATTCGAAGGTGTTGGCAGATGCTGAAGGGTACAAATTAATACAAGAGCGGGAAAATCTTGTGAAACTCAATGATGATGCTTCCTTATTCAGTTGTGTACATTGTTATCTGCTCCACATCTATCTGCTGCTTTTCTCTGACAGGTAAGCTGCAAAGTGCTTCAGTTTTTTCACCAATATACAATGGGCTGTAACTACTTCTGGATGCTTTGTGAAGGAATATATCTTCATACGCTGATTGTGGTGGCAGTATTTGCTGAAGAACAGCGCTTGCACTGGTATTACCTCCTGGGCTGGGGTATGTGGTCTTTTTCCCCCCTCAGTTCCTAAAACATTTCCAGTCATGTATTTCCTTTTGTTACAGGGTTTTTTTTAAAAAAATTGGCACTTTGATTCATGCAAACATGGAATGTCCACAAAAAAGGACAGCTCTTATATGTTATTAGGCAAAAAATGTATAACTTTTTGTATAAATGAATGAGAACCACTGTGGCAGAATGGAATGGTATAGTGGCTAAGGTACTAAGACTGGAGAGACCCAGGTTCTAGTCTTCCCCTACACATGTAAGCCAGCTGGATGACTTTGGGCCGGTTGCTCTCTCTCAGCTCTAGACTGTCTTGATTTGGAATCATCATCATCACTGAAGTCAAGAAGGAGGTTAGTAGTGAATACATCATGAGAATGAAGAAGTTCTTAAAGTCCAAACTCAGTAGTGGACCTGTACCATCAAGGCAATTAACACCTGGGCAATTCCAATCATTAGATACACAGCTGGAATAGTGGACTGGACTCAAGCAGAACTAGAAGCCCTGGAGAGGAAGACCAGAAAAATAATGACAATGAATCATGTCCTTGTCCAT